GGGCCACTCGTATGATTTTGCATATTCCTGGGGTGTGTGTATTATTTGCCACAGTGCCCGTGGCTGTCTAAGAGAGCAGTGGTACACTCCAATAGTGGCGCTCCATGATAATTGAATTGATGGAGTCTTTTGGTGTGGGGTGGGGGGATAAAACAGTGTTTGGGCTTACTTTAGTCACAAGTAATCGGAAAACACACACTCGTGCACTTTGATGCTTTCTCTTCTGTTTCTAAACAAACAAGAGCATAATTATAATTTTTATCTTTACGACTTGTATCTGGGAGCCAGCCAGGCCAGGAGGCCCGATCCTCCTCGTCTTACACTTTCATTTGAATCCAGCCTCGCTGATGCACACAAACAGCCCGGTGGCATGTTTTATTAATGAATGGAGAACCTGCGCAGTGCTTTGTGTCCCTGATGTTTGCTTTGCCAGCGAGCCTCCGAGCCGCTCCCGGCCCCTTTGATTAGGCAAAGAGCTCCAACTGAGGCAAGGGGGGGGGGGGGGGGATGTCCTGTGTAATGAAGAGATTATTGGGCCTGTACCCCCTAACCCTGAACGAGTACAGTGTATATACAGTTGCAGATGGACATCCTACAACACGATGGGACACACACACATGCACTTAACCTGATAAGGTCGCAGCACAGCACAACAAGGAGAGGCAGAGGCCTCTAATTAATTTAGAGTCCTTAGTGGATTTTAGAGGGTATGGGGTGGGGTTCCGAGTATTCTAGTAATTCAGCTCGGATGAATACCATTACCATCTAATGTTGTCCAATTACCGAAGCGGGAGGCTTCATTTTGGGCTCGAGTGCAGCTAATAAAATCCAAAGCCGCTCGGTGTAACAGATTCTTCATTTATTTCTCAGGCTTTGCGTGTTGATGGTGATAAATTCTGTCACATACAGATGGATATATTTTTTTATTTATCTCTCTGTGGCAGAGGTCAAATTTAATCCCCAAACCACTCCCCCCTCCACCCCCCACCCCCTGATGCCCAAATCTGGGCTTGTTTCTGATATATGTGGTATAAAAATCCAGCAGGAGCTATTTTATAGATTACACCCCCTATTTCATTTGACATTGGCTTCTTTCTCCTTTTTTTTTTTCTATCCGCTGCATTGTTTAATAGAACAGGAGCATGTTGCCCCCTGCAGGACAAAGAAGGCGGCACACCTCGCCTCATCCCGTCCATACAACAGCGACAGGCTGTCAAGAGAGCGGGGATTATCTCCTCAGCGGCCGGATTAACTAAAATAAATGTTCTCACAGAAAGTTGCCAGGCGTGTTTTCATCCTCTCGGTGTTGACTTTGAGATCTCTTCCCAGGGCTTTTTCTAAAGAAGTGTTGTCTTTGTGGCAGCAGCGAAGCCTTATTAAAGAATATGCTTTCAATTAGAGCACCAAAGGAGGAAAGAAAAAAAAAGAGCGAAGTTGCTGCAGACAATAAACATTTCAACCGAGGAGAAATGTATTGCCGGGGATTTCTGGCCACAGAAAGATACAGCAATGTTTGATTTAATGTCCTCAGGCCTTGTAAAATTGCAGAAATTATATATTGAACAAAAGCAACGCAGGGCTTTTACTACAATGTAGAGACTGTAAATCCTGTGTTGTTATTGAGGTTGTTGGCAAGACTCTGTCAGCAGACACGTAGCGTTCGGTGGTTTATGCCTGGAGGCCTGTGTGGGCAACAAAAAAATCAGGACTAAAGCTGCTACTGCGCTTTTTTTGTTTTGTTTTGCTGAACAAAGCCATGCATGTTGATGCAAATAAAAGGCCTTTGTGCTCATTTGCATCGAGGTGAAATTCAGCTAAACTGCTGCGACGCTGGAGGCTGAAATCGGCGCCCGTTTCTTTAAACGCTAAGTGGAAAATGTGTCCTATAAAACATAAAACAACTTTATGTGTCATAAAGAAAGAAGAACCAGAAAAGTAATATATATATATATATATATATACGTCCAGCTCCTGGCAGGGGGATGCACTACTTTACGTTCTTGTATGAGTGGATTTACAGCAGCCATTACTCCTGACAGGGAGAGCCTCACCGCTGCACATAGTAGCCGTGAATTTACTGCCGTGGTGAAGACGGGGACTGGTTTTAATGGTGACTCTGGTTTATTCCCCCTCAGCAGCTGAATCACCCAGTTAGGATCTGCTTTTGTAATAGAAGTAACAATGTAGAGACACAAGGCTGTTTATAAGGAGAGTATGGTCATATGGAGTAATGGAGCAATGCGACTCGGTGTCACATAACAGTTGTTTAGATGTTTTTCTTTCCAGTTTGGTTTAATGGTTTTTCATGAGAGACCCGGCATAAAGGGGGGCCTCATGTCGAGGAGGATGTTTTGTCCATATGCCACACAGAGTGACACGCTCACTGTCTCTGACCTATATTCTTTCACGCCACAAGATGTCCCCATAATGCTTGTCTGTGAGAAAGCACTCCAGCTTCTTTGCAGGCATGCACTGAATAATACCGCATCATGACTGGTGCTGACGATGAGGGTGAGGATGGGCAGTAAGTCACTCCATTTGCACTGAAGAGAACTGATGAAGAACTGACAGGATAATCTGGTGATTCCCAACATTTTTCATTGGCTCTAAAGCTCTGATTGACTCCAAAACAACTAGAATATTTAAGCATGTGTGCACACCCTCTGTTTAGAGTTAACCAATCACATTTAGATTCATGTTAAATAGTAGCCAGTACACATCTGTAAACAACTGAATTGATTCTCATTGAACTCTTATATAAAGTTCAAATGTTTTATCCAGAGGATTATCCAGAGACTTACTTTTACAGCAAAGAGCTTTCAAAACTTCAGATGTTTAAAGGAATCTGTCAGGAGAGGTGCAGGAGAATTTCCAAGGTAACAGATGTGTTTCCATAGATATACTGTAGAGTACAGTGAAGGCAGTTATTTAAAAGGTTATTTAAAACTTTTATTCACTTATGTAGAGTAGTCTCTGTTTAAAATACTAATGCATTCACTTCAGATGTTTTCTGAACACAGAGCCAGACTTTGTGGTAATGTTTAAAGTGCTCTGGGGGATTAGTTCTCTAGGCTTCCTGAAGCTTTTTTTGCACGTTGACTCCTTTATTACTCATTTTCTGTCCAGTCCTTGTAACTGACCATTTTCAGAGGAATGTTTTGTTTGTTTGTTGAGCCCCTTACACAGACCTATGAGTCATTTAAGCACAAAAAAGAAACTTAACTCAGGAGATTAACTATTCTTGTGACTATGCATAACAGAGAACTTTGCAAATACCCAATTATAAGATGTGTCTTTAGGCCCTCTGTGCGTTTTTGTGACAGGCTGCTATTACCAATCTGTGAAAGATGTCAAAGATACCACAGTTTGACAGACATAAAATAGTCCTTTTGCACCAGCAAGGTGATTCCCAAAGAGATATTGGCTGAAAATGTAACATATCTCACAATGGTGTGCAGGGTGTCCTTAAAAAATTTGAGGAAACTGGACAAAAGAAGTGTCAGTATCTGTTCATTTGAACAGTGTCCCGTTTTCCTAGCCAAAGAAAAGAAATCAGAAGTGAGTCGAGACTTTTGCACGGTACTGTATATCCACATATACGTTTCTCACCACCTCCCTGGGTACTTGTACTCCTAGGTGGGAATAAAAGGATGATAATCATCTCTAATCAACCCTTGTTAAGCCAAAGTTGAATCTCTTATTCACCAAACACTGCATCTTTGTTTGCAAAAGAAGAAACTTTTTCCCTTTTTCTTTCTAGTGTGTGTCTTTGGCCTCAGACCCATTTGCAGATATTTTACAATCTTGTATTTTTAGCTGATATTCCTGGCAAGGCTTTGACAGTTGGTAGATCACCCAAATCTACGGAAATGGAAGCCAGTGGCTTTGTCATAGACTGTCAGCAGCAGCGACAGATGCTTGGCTTTATGTACAATAGAAACTGCCAGACCAAGAGAATGATCCTAGCTTATTTGCTCCGTCAGCTAAAAAAAAATCCTCCGCCTTGCTGCTAGGAATTTGCTTAAAGCTTTTTCTGCAACTTTGTCAAGAAAACTGGAGGAGGGAGTGTGCCACCACAGGGACCTTAGTCTTTGAAGTTGGGTTTGAGGCAAGGATGTCTTTCTCTTTTGGGATCCAAAGACAGAATCCTTCAGAAATGAAGAATCCAATTAAAGAATTGGAAAAGACCAGAGAAAACTGGCTAAATGCTTCATGGAGACCATATACACCACAAGCAACATTTATAAAGCTCTGATATCAAGGAATGGAAGGCAGAGATAAGTAGGCATAAGTGATCCCACCTTCCTCTTACTGAGGAACTCCAGCTTTTTAATTCAGGATCTATCAATAGTTGGGTCGAATGAGGTCATGTTTACTCATCATCATAAGTATAATGTAAAGGAAAAAAAGGTGAAACACGCACAAGAAGAGAGGACGGTTGGCATGGTGTGAGGAAGAGAGGAGCAGGGTAAACATGCTATTCATAGCTTCAGTGATATCGGGGAGCATTTTCTGAAAAGATCTGAAATGAAATGAAAAGCAGGAGAAAGACTGAGGCACGGGAGGGCGGGCTCAGTGATTTCAGATGACATTTAGTGTGAACTTTCTGTCATAGAGACAGAAAGAAGCGGAGGTTCATTATGAGCGTTTCAAAGTAACAACAAACTACTGGAAGTAATGCCAACCGAGGCGGCCTAAATGTCATCATGCCCTTATTCTTTTATTTCCTCTCACACCTAAAGTCAGGGGAAAAAGCGGCGAGGCGTGGATTGTTTTTTTCAGCTAGGACAAGCTGTGTTTGGTTTCAGATGTTTGGTGAGCAGATGTTTTGGTGATTATGATGCTGAGACAGCCTGTGTTTGCTTGCCCTGATCCGAGGAGGGTCGAATATTTTGGGGAAGGGGGTCGTAAAAATTGTGGCATGTGACTCGAGGGTGATCTTTTTTGCCCCAGGCCACACACTGCCTGAGAGTTGATCGTCCTTCTGCTCTTTCCCACAGCGAGAAAAGCTGATCCACGAGCTAGAGGAAGAGCGACGCCTGCGACTGGAGAGCGAGAAGCGTCTCCGGGAAGTGACGGAGGAGTCCGAGCTGGGTCAGGCGCAGGTGGTTTCACTGCAGCAGCAATTCTCCAGGTAAAAGAACCCAGGAGCACAGAGCGGGCTTTAAATCCCATTTTTCAGCCCTCACTCATTACGTTTGAACAAAAGGAATAAATAAAAACAAACAGAGGATGAATTACAAAGTTGCTATGATACTGATCCTGATTTATTCAGCATCAGCAAATATTGTATTCAGCCCTCTGTAACCCTGTGTGGGAGGGGATGAAAAGTACGAGCGTCTATAAAATGATTGTGTTTCACTTGAGTGATTTCATCTCCTTTTTATGCAGTGCTATGAAAAAGTATTTGCCCCCCCACCTGATTTCTTTGTTGTTTGTTGTTTGTCTTAGTTGTTTTACCCTGAGTAAGTACAAAATTCAGTTTTTCTTTGATGATTAACCACATTTGTTAGAAAGCTGAGTTCAGTTTCACAAGCCACACTCAGGCCTGGTTACTGGCAGCCCTGTTGAATCCAGAAATCACCTAAATAAAACCTGTCTGAGAAAGCGAAGCAGGTTAAAAGACCTCAAACAGCAACACATCAGGCCATGATCTGAAGAGCTGAGAAACAAAGTCACTGACATGTGTCAGCGGAAAGGGTTAGAAAGCCAAGAAAGGTTTTGTAACTCCAATGAACCACAGTGAGAGCCATTATACACACATGGAGAAAACTTGTATCAGTGGTGAACCTTACCAGGAGTGACCAGCCTACCAAAATTACTGCACCGGAACAACATTAAAGAACCACAGGCTTCACTTTGAACTTTGACCTCAGTTAAGGTCAAAGTTCCCATTTCACATTTACCAAAAACATCTTGATGATCCCCAAGTAAATATCCTGTGGACTGACGAGACAAAAGCTGAACTTTGTGGAAGGTTTGAGTCCCGTTACATCTGACATAAAACTAACAGCATTTCATAAGAGTGGACCAAAATTCCTCCACAATGATGTGAAAGACTCACTTGCACTTATCACAGAAGCTTGATTGCAGTTCTTGCTGCCAAGGGCGGAACAACTACTTTTTAAGGTTATGGGCATTAACAAGTAGGTTTGGATAACTGTTTTCCCTTATCCATGCCTTTGTTTAATATTCAAATTTGCTTTGTTATCTGAAACATGAAAGTGTGACAAATTTGCAAAAAACCCCTCAGAAATCAGGAAGGAGGCAGATACTTTTTCACAGCACTGTATCTGTAACATTTTAAAGAAGAAAAAAATTACTTCTTAACCCCATTTAAGGGCAACCACCCACACATAAATCCTTGAACTGCTTTTCCATTTATTTTCTGTTCTTATTTGAGACTTTATGGATGTGTCGGACACCACGCTAGATGAATAATCCTTGGGTAATAAAAGGTTTTAAAGAGATGACCTCACACGCTTTCCTTTCACTAAACTGCAGGTCATCACAAGCCATCTGCAAGAAATTGTAATCAGTGAAGAAATGCGCTTAATCCTTCAGAGGTTTGACTTATTTCGAGTCCCTTGCATTACTTGTTGTCCTACTTTCATTTGAAAAGGCCAAAGCATCTGGTCATCGAGTAATTATTGTCTCTTTGCTACAAAAGTTATGACAGGAGTTTGAGTAGATTTTACTCAAAGTCTGTAGCTCGGAGTCAGAGTCTGGACCCCTGGATGTTATTTTCTCTCTGGTTTGAACTCTGTTGCCCTGGAAAAGGGCACCTGTGTTCACTTTTTTTTTTTTTTTAACTTTTCATTCACGAAGGAAAAATGAGCCATGCTAGACTTTTCTGTCTTCTAAAATATGTCTTTACCAGAGGCTTAATAAAACTGGACTTTTGGACCCAATGCTAAGAAAAAAAGATAGATGTGCAAGAGTGAAGAATCTCAACTCCCATATTCTTTATAAAAGTGCATTTAAAGGTATTTAAAGCTATGTCCACACAGAAAGCATTCACAGTGACATTCAGTGAATTCAGGGGGGAAAATACTGGTTTCCTAGTCAGATACCTGAATGATCCAGACCCAAAGTGGGCATTCCACCCTTTTCTAGCTGAGAATCATGGGCATAGGGTTAAAAAGATATTGCAGACAATACTGAGTATAGTTGTATGGAACAATACAGCCAGTTTCTGATTTCTATTCTGATCAATGCTATCACCCAGCAGACAACCAACAAACACGACTGGGTCAGACATGGAATGAAAAGGGTGAGCTGGGATTGAGGTGGGTTGCAAAGCAGCTTGCAGAGGCAGCAAAAAAAACGGAGCCAGGTTAGGCCAAAATTGGCGCGGTGAAGATTCCAATCTGTCCCAATGCGGCTTTTGAGTTAGTAGTGCTTTTCTACTCTATTTGAGCACTCAAAGCGCTTCCTTACTACAAACGTCATTCAAACAAGTACCCTTTTCTATACCTGTGCACTTTTAACCCAACAGCTCGGGGGTTCAGTATCTTGTCGAGGGATATTTTGGCATGTGGGCTAGAGGAGCCACAGCCACCATCACTGTACTAAGCCTTTGCCTGGGTACTGAGTTTAACCCTTTGCTCCAATTTCTTAAAACTTCACAGTAAGCTGCAGTAATGGGTGATCCAAGTGATCAGAGTAAATCTAATAAAACAAACTTTTAAGGAGATATCAGTGGCATGTACAGCAGCCTGGAACATTTTTTCGCTGAATAGTCCAGAAACCAGTAACTATCCCTTTTAGTGAAAGCAATAGATTTTTGCCAGCAATTTTCTGCAATCAGCACAATCTTTCAGTAACCTTCAAAATCGAGACCTTGTTCCCACTTTTTCTATTTCTCACATTCTTTTCTTTGCTTTTCCATTTCATCAGAGCACTTCAGTGTCATTTCTCTGAGACGCTTGACCTTGTCTTTTTCAGAAAAAGATCGTCCGATACATTACTTTTGCTTTGCAGAAAGGGAACCCATAAGGCGTGAAGCCCTTAAACAATGCTCTCGTCATAACTTCAGTAACCTCTATTTCATGAACTCGTCCTCCTCTTTGCAGCTGCTGAAGTGTGACAGAGAGGGACAGCAAATCAAGAGCTGGGGCCCGAGTTGATGCCATAATTAGGCGATAGGCATTCAGTATGCAAAAGGACGGGGCTGGGGAAAAAAAAGAGTCTGGGGGATTTTACATTGACTGCTTATCTTCTCATTAAGTTGGTTGGAGAAAATCCGGTACGTTTTAATGGTCCCAGTGTTATAGTGCAGACGAGGGCAGAGTCGCTGCCAGGGGAGGAATAAAATATTTAAGAGCCATTCCAAAGATTTATCACATATTTAAAATGTTCCATTGATGCCTCTGAATTAAGCTCAGCGGTGTTTCTCACTCATGTTGGCCTTCCTCGCATTCCTGATGCACATTTATACAGTTTACACTGTTTCGGAGATAGCTGAGGGGAGTTCATTTTGCTTTATCCTTCCTAAACCTGAAGCAGTTTTCTGTTTCCGGCATTTCCCCTGTCCACGTCTTCCATCGGGGTCACCTTCTGACCTTTACGTAGACTTATTGGGTTTTTGCACAGGGTTCCCGGCATAATAAAGAGTGCAGATACAGTGCACTCGTTCCTCAAGGCTAAAAGTGAATTAGTGAGATAGTAGCTCGCAATACAAGAGTCAATGTGCTGAAGCCAGAGTGAGATGAAGTACAGCAATTCTATTAGGGGGGAGATATATGAAGCTTATCCCTGATTGGGTCCTGCACAGGTCCCCGCAGAGCCAGATGAATTTGTCTGCATGGCAGGGGTTGTCCAGATAGATGGCTCTCATTGGGCGTCCGCCGGCTACCGTTCCTGCTGCCAAGCAACGCCGTGGCAGTAAAGACAAAGATTCCATTATGTCCTTAAAAAGCGCTCATCGAAGCGGGGATGTTCGGCCCTACCTCGCTTGGCTGTTGCCATTCCAGCGGTGTGGCGCTGCTGACATCATGCTCGATTGCTGCAATTTCCCCGCGTCGTCAATGCTTCTTAGCAACTCCCAAAGGGAACGCAGGGTTAGGGCTGCAAGTTCGAAAGATATCTCCCCGCTCCCCTAACGCCTCTGCAGGATTTCACTCTCAGAGCCTTAATCTTTGTTTAAAGCGATGCCCGAGCGCTTATTTGAATGTGAACGAGTCCGCTAACAAGCATGTGGAGTGTGTTTACTGGTACCTGGTCCCTTCGCCGCATTAGCATGCTTACATGGCAGCCAATAATCTGCGGTGGCAGATGGGACAACAGTGTGGTCACTTTAATTAGCCAGTAAAAAAAAAGAAGCCTTCCTGTAAACCTTTGCCCTACTTGCATCTGCTGTTTCAGTTATTGGCTTACGGATGCTTGCCTTCAACCGGCAGACGACACTTATTTACCTCTCTGCTGGCTGACTGATTGATTCGGGCTCATTATTTGTTGTGCATTTGTTGTGTGTGTGTGTGTG